AGGCCTGACCGGAACCCTAGGACCGCTTAAAGTTAGCCTCAAAACCGCCGTAACCTCTCCTAAACCCTAAACCCTAAACCCCATCAACCTCTTCGAGTTTGTGACTGCCGGCCTCCACGAGCGGGCTCAACAGCGGTGGTCGGACTCTGTACGGCCTCGGACGCTTCGTAAAAAGGTGCAGGGGTTGGTAGGTAGGATTTTGGGATTCAGGATTTACGGCGTCGGGGCGCAAGTCCAGGATGTTTGGGCTAAGGGTCTTTAGAGTTTGAGATCTAGAACTTTGCATCCTCGGGTTTGAAGCTTCCTGTGTAAGTCTGCTCCCCTGAGCCCGAAGAGGCACGAAGCTCCCGGCGCGCTCCTGTCGAACCTCCTGCAGCAACTGCTGCACCTCGCAGAAAAAGGATGCTTCCCTGAGTTGGATAAGGATAAGTTATCGTGCTTCGGTTATACCTTATAATCCTAGACCCTAGACCCTCATCCCTGTTATAACACTCACGGGCACGAACTGGCATGAGCTTGGGGCTTGCGACTTAGACTTGAGGACTTTTTGTGTCGCCTCGAACCGCCCAAGGTCCCTTCTCAATGGTTGCGGGTTCCTTTAGGGTTTAGGGTTTAGGGGTTCCTTAAGGATGCAGAATGTCGGTGTCGTGATTTCAAGGATCTAGGATTCTGGGCCTAGGGTTTAGGAATTTTATGGGGGTTTTGAGATTAGGGTTTAGGGTTCAAGGTTGAGGGTTTAGGGACAAGTTGGGGTTGCAAGACGTTGCAAGCATAAACTCGACTGTCGGATGAAGTTCATTGCGGTTACCATGTTTGGATCCTGTGCCGATGCTCAAGCCCGACGAGTCGGGTGGTAATTCAATCTTCTGGGTTTGGGGCTTACAGTAGGGCTCCTAGGCTGTATAGATCCCTGAGAAGTTTGTTGACATCTTTCCCGTTGATGAGGTGCCCCTCCCACTGATGACCTTTCTCCCGACGGAAGCTTGTTCTCATAGACTCTCTCTGAGCTACAGCAATGCAGCCGAAACAGCTGACGACGGAATACTCTCTTTCGTGCCCGCTGACACCCCTGCTTCTGGCCAATCAGTATCAGCCAGCCTCGCTGGTGGACTTCTGCTGCAGCCTCCGGGTTCAATTTGAGAGGGCTGCCCAACACCCCGAAACACTGAAACTCTAAACCCTAAAACCCTAAAGCCCTAACCCTTAAACCCTAAAGCCCCAAACCCTAAACCCCAAAACCATTTTCTTCTGCCCTTCCTGGCTGATGTCAGCCTTTCGGCAGCTCTCAAAGCGACGACAACAACGACAACGATGACGAGGGTGGTGGCTTGGGCTGCCGCAATTTTGGGTTTAGGGCTTTAGGGGTTAAAAGCTTAGGGTTTAGGGGTTTAGGGCTGTAGGATTTAGGGTTTAGGGTAGCTGCCTTCGATGCCTTTAGACTCCAGTCAGTCAGCTTCGGAGCAGCTCCAGCGGCTCAAAAAGAAACCATGCAGGCTGCAGGACGCACAGTATACAGGGCCCCAAAACCCTATTCTAATTATTCAGGCCCCTATAGAGAACCCTAAACCCGAAATGGTGTCCCTGCCATCCCGGCACATCCACACGTCCCACAGAGGTCCGGGGCCTCTGTCGCTCTTCTCGCCTCCTGCGCAAGACCTCTTCCCAGAAATTTACCTGATCACAGCGCTAGAGCCTTCTGAATCCTACTGATCCATGCCATGCCAGAGCATCTCTGATAGCAGTGTGTGGTGCAGCCGATTATCGGTCATCACCATGTCTCTGCAGCTTGAAGCAAGCTTGGTTTGGGAGGCATTGCAAGGTTTAGTTCCATGCAGAGTTGTCCCGGTGCCGTGCATGCAGCACACTGGCCCAAGCGATGTATGCACGCTCCCCAGCCTTGCCGTCGGCGGCAGGCCTCAGCGAGCCAGCAAAAGCACGAAAATGACCCGAGGACAATTTGAGACAGAAAGCGGGCAGTGATTGGCAGCGCGTTCGATATGATCGGGTCGCTACCGATGCAAACACTTAAAACAAGAATTGCCCATAGGGACCCATGGTCGTCACACCGTAACAGAGGCTACCTCGGCCCGAGGGCGTCTGGGGGGGCAACCACCCTCGCACATGAAGCTTTTTATCACCGAGCGGTGTTGAAGCGCGACCGGTCATACCAGAAGGGCTCCTCGATTCTCAGACACGGGCAAGGATCCCCAAACTCTAAACCCAAAACCCTAAACCCTAAACCCTAAACACCAAACCCCAAACCCTAAACCCTGAACCCCAGAAAGGTCCTCTTCACCATCCTCTTCCTCGACCACTTCCGTGGAGCAAAGACAGAGATCCTTGTTCTCTGGCAAACAGATCACTAGGGTTCACGGCGTTCGCATTGTTCTCAAATGCCGTCCAAAAATACATGGAAACCTAAACCCTAAACTTCCCTAAACCCTAAACCGGCCTAACACCCGGAACCTGGAGATAAAATAGGGGCCTAAATAATTACCAATACTATTTTGAGAGTTCCTTATTATAACTACGCTATAACGGGCCCCGAAACTACTCTGTCCATGATGGCTCCCAAGGATCCGGAAAGATCCTGTTGGAGGCATCGGTTGCCTCAGTCGACGGAAGCAGGAGCGCAAAGACCATGGGAGTAAGTAAAAGAAGAATAGTTTAGGGTTTAGGGTTTAGGGTAGTAATCAAGATCATAAACCATAACAGTACACTCTCCCTGCAGGACCATGACCTCAGAACTGTGGTGCGTAAGCTTGAAGGTCTCTTAACTGCATGGTCTTGAGCTTGAAAAGTAGACGCTTGGGGTTCAGAGTTGTTGGTGCTCCGGAGCTTCATGGGTTTTTGGTTTAGGCTTAGTTTTTAGGAAATCTTTTAAGGCTGCCATGCGCTCCCAACTGTACATTGTAGAATGTAGAACGTGGAGTAACTCTGGCGGGCGCGTCGGCGCAGCTACCAGGTGCGATCTTGTTTTGTTCTTCTTGGGTATAGGGTCTAGGGTTTAGGGGATATTGTCGCTACTATTCTGTTGCTTCTGGCGAAGTTGTTGTTATTGTTGCTGTTGCAGGTGGCGGGCCGTGCGGGTGGTTGATACTGGATGATAACGGTGCATTTTTCGTAAAGTAAGTCATCGTAGCAGTAGCAGCACAAGCAATAGTAAATAGTTCTTGAGAGTGGCATCGGCAGCAGCAGCAGCAGCAGCAGCAGCAGCATTCGCCGGAGCCTTCGTCGCCGTGGTAGTGTCAACATGATGTTCATGATGCTCTTAGCTTTTCGTGCTTCTTCTGACTGCGGCTATGGGTCTTATTCCCCTTCTTTCGGCTCGCAACTGCTTCTGTTATCCTTTTTGCTACTGCCTCAGTACTACTCTTACCGACTTTTGGGTTCCTGGGATCAGGGGTAAAGATTTCGGTACGTGCTCAGGATTAGCATGCAGCCCAAGCGGCAGAGTTTTGTGAGGCGATTCCTGTCAGAAGCAGGGCTTGATCTTTGAACTTACTTTCAACTCCTGTGCCTTGCCTGTTTGAACAGAGCGCCTGTGTAAGATGATGATGATGCTCATAGTATGCATATTGCAGCTCAAGCTACTGGTTGAGGGTACAGTGTGCTACCTGCATCATGGGGCTGTGCATGCATCTGCCATCACAGGTCGACCCAGATCCCCCTAAACCCTAAGCCCTCAACCGTAAACCCCTAAACCCTAAACCCTAAACCCTAAACCCCTAAACCCTAAACCCCAAACCCCTAAACCCTAAACCCAAAAGTCCCGATCACCCGAAACTCCAAAACCCCGAAGACCCAA